TTCTTTCCAGGTTTTGAGGAAAACAATGTAGATGAAAGCTTTACCAAAAAAACAATTCCACGGGTAGCGGGATGTCCAACTAAGGGAAGAACTTGGATTAACCTCGAAATGGTCATTTTGCTCCAGAAATGCTTGTGATTATGTGGAGTTTTGAGTGTATACATGGAGACAACGATACGAAGTTTCTAGGCAAGCAATCAGTGCGTATAGTGTATCCAGTAGTGTATCCAGCGTATAGACTAAAGAATAGTTCGAGTGTGAAATGATGAAATCCCTTTTTTAACAACCCATACTCCCTGTTTAAAAGTTCATATGATGACTCACAGTACTCCACTTCTAAACTGATTGTTTGGTTACAGCTTGGAATTTAGAATGGCGAAACCATTCGTCGGAAGAACTACACGAATTTCAACACGAAAGGTGTCGACAACTCTGAAAGGAGCAATAGAAAAGGTTGGCTTATGTCTTGGAGTTTGGACTGGAGCAAAATACCGTAAAAGACTGCGGTATGAAGCCCATCCCTGGTAAGATTGTTGTTTTGAAAGAAGATGTGGTGTGCTTCCCTTGAATTTGTCATGCTCTTGTTCTGTGGAGAATGCGAGTTGGTCGTTCGAATCATATAGAAATTTGGGTCATTTGTTCTTATGCGAGGTCCAAGGTTCTTGTTAAGTTATCTACTCAGCTCCAGTAGCTGCTTCTCAACCGCTGAAGCTACCAAGCCGTTTTTTTTTACCTATTTCGAACAACTAAAAGTTTATGGGCTCACATGATATACCTAATCACATAGGAACTGATTAGATTATCTGAATATTTTTGTTCTTATTCCTTTTATCCTTTTATGGATGAAACGGTGTTCCGATAGTGTTCATGTGAGCCTGGCCTACTTTCCGGCAGATTCTCTGCCTAACCCAGCATCCGAACGGACCATGCATTCATCCACAGTCTGTGTATCCAGAGAGCGAATGACGATCTTCTTTCCTTCTCTTTTGTTTCCATTTCCATCTCTATGTCTCCGATCCGATCTACCCATCAGATTCTTGGTTGTCCTTTGTGTAACTGTCTTTTCACAAAGAAGTTCGCACCAGTTGGGTTGATCTTCCTCATCGAAAGCAATTGTAGGAATGTAACCAGGTCTTAAACGGTTTCAGTTGAAGAATGCAACTTCAGATGTCGGGCGCACACCTCCAGCTTTGTTCTTATCCAAATGTAGAATATATTAAAATTAATAGTAATGTATTCTCACTTTCTAATACTAAACTTCTTTTGGACATAGATGGTTGTGGCAGAGAAAAACTACGAGGGTGCCGAAAGATGAACTACATCAACATTTGATGAGGGTATAAAGGCAAATTGTTTTCAATACATATTACTTTAAGACTAAAGAACGACTGATCGCTAATCCACATCTGAGGATCATTGGCAGCTCCAAGCCAAACACCTACTTCTGCCCTGTTAAGTTGCCCGTTACATTTGTTTTGCCAAAGTTTACCGCAATGAAAAATATGAGCTTTTGTGGTCCCAATCTGTATCCCGAATTTATCGCTGTAAAAACAACCCCTTTACAAAAGAAATTGAACACTTTCAAGAATGCACGGCAACTTCGAAAGTTCAGTGGCCTAACGTAATCATTTCCGCTCTCTCGAATTTAAGTGTACGATAGGGAGTCCGATACGTAATTTCGGTTTCCGTATGCGCGGGAAGTCGACTGTTTTGAATTCCATCGGGAAACTGCCTCTTGGTTTCGCAATGGGAGACTTCATGTGGTATTCTTTTTTATTCACTTCTTTTAAGTAGATACATACTATCGTCATTTAAATTGGGTATGTTGCTTTCGTTTAAACTTCGTATGACAGTGTAGTTATGCTTTGAGGTAGTTGATTGGGCTTCTGCCGGTGCTCTAAAGCCAATGAAACCCATGGCAACTATAGTTGCACTTACTAGGATCGCTGAAAACGTCATGTTTTAATATTTCAGGGATGTGCTCCATTGTGCTTGATCCACGTTCCATCGTGGATTCGTTATCCTTTCTGAAGGTAGACATCAATGTAGAGGATATTATTCGGCCAAGGGTTAAGTTTTTGCCCTGTATTTTATCTTTAGTTAAGATGTGGAGAATGTGAGAAAGGAATTTTCGAAGTGAGTTTTGAAATTGAGAGAACATAGACAGGAAGCAACCACTAGGTGTTCTTTGACAAGTAGTTGTAGGGTTGCTTTATTTTGCTTATTTATAAAGGCATCTCTAGTAATTTTTAGCAGCAGCCTTAGCTCTTCTATACTTCTTACATTGATATTGTTTTTAGGCTGATCGTATCCAGAACATCTACCATTCGTTCTGCACCCAAGTTCTCGAAGTTCCGGAAAAATCATTGTCGGAACTTCCGTTTGAATTCAATACCAATTCGGAAACCGCAGAAATACATCACAGGAGCACTCCTCTTGTTCTGTTGTTTACGACGATGTGGTTGCTTTGCTTCTTTTTTGCAGCATTTCTTATTTTGCCTTCGTTTGTTGTCTGTGCCTTCCCTACTGATACCATTTTAGGCGGTGTTTTATAACGGACTTTGGGGACGATTCGTGTGACTTCACTATGTGCGATCTGATCAACCCACAACCAAAACGGACACGAAGGTTGCTCTCAGTTGTTGCGGATTTTGCTGATTTCTATATGGCATGTTTTCGTATTTCCCTACTTATTTTTCTTCTAGGAGTGGTTTTTCCCGTCTAGTGCATAATATTCAATGCTCGCGTATAATAATAGTAATAATAAAGGGCGCGTGTAACGGCGCAGTTGTCGGAAGCCCCCCGCAATACACCTGGGATCAATCCCCTCGCTCCAGTCTCATCAAGCCGTGCGTCCCTCCGGGGTCCGCAAATTGGTACAAGACTTTTCTGGGAGGATAGCAGCATTGACTCGACACATCGGTAGAACACTGCGGATCATTGTAAAGGCCAGTTGTGCATTCATTCACCTCTAATGATGCTTAATGAAGTCGAATGCTTCTCACATCCTGCAAGATTGGTCAACGCCCAGAGTTTTATCCTTTTTATTCTTTATTCAGTGCTTTCCTTTCCTCAGTCCCGCACATAACATCACGGCTCTGAGGAAGGCGAAGTCGCCGAAACGTCAGCCATCGTTCAATAACATCAAAAACAACGACAACGACAACGACAACGAAGATCTGTACCAACCTCGCGTCAGCTTAAGGAGATCAGTTTATAAGATCACATAAATAAATATAAGAAGGAGACCGACGTTACCTTCAGGAAGTCCACCTAAAGGTAAACCAATCCCAGGACCCACCACTGTGTTGGTGTGAAACTAGCCTCATGGTGGAAAATCTCGCTCTAATCCACAGGGGCGGCGACTGCTTGTGGTGGTGATGACCTGGGGCAGACTTTGGCTAGGCTGGCCTCAGGACTGCAGGAAAGCACAATGACCAAACCAACAAAACTCCGAAAAAGTGAAAATTATGAAGGGACCCGAACAACCAATGAGGACGACCCATACAAGTATATAAGTAAGCTATATTGTGGTATATGAACGTGTCAAAAGGAACAGTTTCTGTTGTTTCTTCTTACTACACTGTTGTGAGGAACCTATTTTTATTTGTATCTGAGTTAAAGACCAAAGAGTTAACTACGCATTTTTCACGATTTGTAGTGTGCAACTTTTCTTTACAAGCTTGAAAACACTTGTTGAGAATCTTTTCGAAAGTTCGATGTGAGTTTGTATTTTCTAGAAAGCGTCACATGCGTTTGAAAAAACTAGAGCTGAATACGACGATGCGCGACGAGCAATCAGTACTGCTCAGGAGGAAGTGAGTTGTGGTGCTGTGATCGGTTGTAATGTTACAGCATAAAACAACAGTTCTGATCGTCACCGGCACACTTTAAGGTGCGCCTGGCTGAGGAACGGAAGAATACACTTCTTAATGAGCAAGGCATTAGGAAGAGGAAAGAAAACGAGGTGTTTTTGTATTTACTAGAGGTCTTATAGTGGATTCTCGTACAATATTGTTTTTTTTTCAGCTGTTGGCAGAGCTAAACTCGAAACAAGCTGCACTGAGGGAGTTATGGAAGGAAGGAGAGTTATGTGAGAAGAGAAGAGAGGCTGTCTGGAATTCGATCAAGGATGGAAGAGAGGAAATAGTAGGCAACGTGTTATATAAATTAATCATCTAAATATTTTATGTAGAGCTTTGGTTCACTTGCAGGTGAACCTTAGAAGAGAACTCAAATCACTTAGTAGTAAAATCGATCATGTATCCAACGGAATTATTAAATCTCCTACTCGATTTCTTCGCGATGTTGAAGACCAGAGAGCATCGATTAAAAGTCTTCAAAAACAGTGTGACACTGAAAGGTGATTGACGTGGATGATTTCTGGTTACATTATTTGAGTATCATTTTTTAGACAGCGAATTTGTGATAATGAGGAAGCCATTAAAGTTGTCGAGCAAATTTCCAAGGCGCTTGATGAGCTCTCTAAGAAAGGGGATCAGCTTCGTGATTGGCAGGTTCCTTATTTTAACGTGCATAGTTGAATATGAAATATATAACTTCGTAGAGTATTTTTGCTTCAATGAACTTTAGAGTGAAATCAACCGCCTTGAACAAGATGCTGCTGATTCTAACGCACTTCGTGAAGATTTTATTAAGAAAACGCACCACACAGAAGAAATGCTAAGTGTAAGTCGCTCTATTACTGTATAACTTTCTTATTTGGATACTTAGATGACCCGTCCTCACTGAGTGTGCGGACCCGTGCATAATTCCTGTTTTTTGGAGTTTTACTAGCCTAACCATTGCTGTTCCCTGGAGTCCTGAGGTCAGCCAGGACAAAGTCTGCCCCAGGTCAACACCACGGGCAACCGCCGCCCTTATGAATCAGAGTGCGATTTGCCACCATGCGACTAGTTTTATACTAGGAAAGTGGTGGATCCTGGCATTGGTTTACTCATAGCCAGGCTTTCTGATGGAAACGCCGGGCTCCTTCTCAGCTTGGGAGACCTTACCAGGGTGATGAATCCCGCCGCTATACATCGCAGCCCGACACCCAAGAATACGTCCCAGTCACGATGAGGCGGTAAACCTTTGGGAGAATATAACTACTTATTATTTGTTATTGCTGCTTCGTACAAATCTTAAGGTATGGTCAAGGATTGTGTTCGTTGCGAACCGAATTTATCTACTAGAATATATGTACATACGTCTTAGAGATGGAAATTACAGAAGCTGATGATATCAAGCGAAGAGCAAGCGAAAACCCATGACCGTACCTACGCACTTTATAGTTTAAGACTGCAGGATTTGAAATCAAGAATGGAGGAATTGAGTAGGTGAGTGGAATATGGTAGTCCATGTTTTTTTTTTATCGGGCTCCAAATTTCACCTATTGGAGTGTCTTAGGTTTTGACAAAAAAAAATTCCGGATATCAGACGATGGAAAACTGTCCTTTCCATCTCTTCCATGTTCTCTTCGAAGTTTTCTAGTGTGGTTAAAAAGTTACGAGAACATGGCTGTTCTGGGCGAAATGAACTGTCACAATTGAAAAAAGAGCTGGTGAGACTACGAAACGAAAAAATACGGGAGGAAGAAACTGTGCGTACAGCATGCCTGGAGCTTCATCGATTGTTTAATGATTTACTAGAGAAGGTGTGCGTTTTGATTTCCACACATTTTAGCCCATAAAACTTTCTATTGGTGTGATTGAATGCCGTAGTAGCACTTCTGGATTTACTTGTGATCTCAATGATTTTAGACAAATATAAAATTACAGTACCATCGAGCCGAGGAGAAGTTCAATATGGAGTCGAAGTTATTCTCAGATGTGCTTCATTCAATATCTTGCGCCCTAGACGACACTGAGCACGCAGGAAGTGATGAAGTAATATGAAAATTGGAGTGGGAGGGTGAAATCACAGAATATGTATGCAACATTGAACTTGTGGAAGTCTCACTTGTTATTTATAGGCTATTATTCTTTCACGACATGTTTCCTCTTTTTGATAAGGATTGTTCTCTACATACTTGCTTGAACCACTAAAGATTTTTTTTTGATCGGTGGACAAACTTTCAATTTTTGACTTTGTCTTTGATTTTTTACGGTTTATGGCGTTGATAAATTCCTTGAGATGTTCTATTCCTTTTACGTTCTATGTCTAAATTTCTTCTGCCAACGCTCATTGTGGCAGAGAGATGCTCCTGGGTGCCGGGCCGCGATATACAGAGGGATGATTCATTCTCCGGCAGAGTCTCCGAGCTGGGAAGGAGTCCGGCGTTTCCATCAACAAGCCTAGCTAAGAGCAAACCAATGCCAAGATTGACCACCGTCATGGTATCAAACTAGTCGCATGGTGACAAACTCCCACTGATGCACAAGTGCTGTGACTGTCTGTGGTGATGACGACCTGAGGCAGACTTTAGCCAAACTGACCTCGGGACTCTATGGAAACACAGTGGAAAACCAGCAAAGCTCCGAGAAATGGAGAATATGCTTGGGCCCGCACAATCAACGAGGAGGGACCACCCAAGTATTCAAGTATTCAAAATACCGGATCCATCTTTGTATCAGTGGCAGAACTGCATTAACAACAGATATTCTACCGATTTTTACACTTACAAGTATGCAACACATCCATATTACCAATCGTCCCATTTATTGTTATGCGACTTGGATGGATGCGGTGATAGTTCATATTGTCCCACGTCATGTGCCAGATTACCTAGTGAGTGGCTTGACGATCATGGAAAGCATGACAGACTGATTGTCCCAGGACTTCCTCAGAATGCCTCACCTTGTGAGTGGTTTTTGGTGCTGTGTTTCAGTATGGTCGATAGTGTTGATCATAAAAAGCTTGACACGTGGCTCCGATGGTTATCGGATGGTTGATCACGGACATGAACAGCTGGTCGTATGTCAGGGTGTTTCTTGATTACTCTACCGCATTCTATGGTTTCCAATCCACTCGCTTTTTTCACGGCTAGTATAGAGCTCGCATTTATCGTGCTAAGTTTTCGATTGACATATACAGCGGAACGATTTGCAGATTTTCGTCCCGTTGAGCGCAGATAAAATTCTCACAAGCATTTTTTTTCTGGATACAACTGAAGAGCAATCGTTTCACAGGCATTACACAAAGTGGAGGGGGCGTATGGCGCAATGGTCGGAGGCGCCCTGCAAAACACACGTGGAATCGACTATAACCCAATGGCCCACCGAGCCTTCCATCCCTCCGGCGTCCGCAAATTGGTGCCAGACTTATCTTGGAGGATAGCAGCACTGGCTTGATACATCGGTAGGTCACTGTGCGCGCTGTATATAAACGCCAGATATGCACTCAATCACCTCCAAACGATACTTAATGAAGTCGAATGCATGGCGCATCCCTCAGGGGTTGATCAACGCCGAGAGCTTTATCCTTTGTCCTTTTTACACTTTCGCACGACGTTTCTAAAAATGATAATGACAAGCCGTTCTGGCGGAATCGTATCGCTTCATTGAATCCGTCCACGTCGATGATGACGTGGCTCTACAACGGGAGCTCTACATACACGACGAGCTAGCACACGTAGCGGGAAACACAAGGCGCACCTTAGTTTCAGTAGGATTCCATTAATGACGATGACGTCGTGAGCTCTTAAATTTCGTCCGTCTACACGAGCAGTGCGTATCCCAGTCCATCTACTATTCGTTTCCTTCCCACGCATTTGCCGTCCGTAGTGTTCGACTGCTTCGAACGTAGTGACTTCTCCGAAGTGCATTCCGTTGTCTAGAAACCACTATCGTCCCCGAATGCAGATGGCTGATGTAAGTCACAAATATGTCCACCTATCGTTCGCTTTTCCGTTCCAGATGGACCTACATTCTCTAATACTCCACTGAACTGTCGTTTGCGCCCGTATCTCATCTCTTCTTTTTACAATATGACTAGTTCATCTGCTTCACTACCGATATCTATTCCAATGAATTCCGAAAGAGATTATTCCCAATCATCTGACCTACACATCCCAGATAAATGTTTTTAGTACCGATCAAACTCCGCTCCATCATTCAAACGCTATTTGCTTGCGCTTAATCTCGGATTTGTTACGGACAGGACCACGCCTAATTTTCAACTTTTATGGTCCTGATTTTTGATAATAGACAGTATATTTTTTTAAACGATAACTGGAGGGTCTGGTGGGCTTTGAACGAGAATGGATTGCAGAAAAGACTTCTATATCGTTACATGGGTAGAAGGTCTGACGTCTGCACCTAAATGCACGTTCACATGAATTTGGGTTCTCCATGGAAAAGTTGATTACGCAAGCGAGAAGGATAAGAAATGACGCCACCGGACTAGTTGAAACATGAAGATGTGGTCCATTCATCACCGTCTATGAGATCGGAAAAGAACTCTTCCATGAACATGCGACGACAGAGGAGCCGCGGCGTCGACGTTCTCATTAACACGAGTTTGACCAAAAGCATGGTTTCATTCGAACAAGTGACAACACGAATTGGACGTTTACAGTTGAAGAGATGCGGAACAGTACAGGCTTTGAAAGTTTTTGTCTTCAACGCAATGATGACTAGCAATGAGGAAGACGAAGTTGGAGCGTTCTACATGGATTTGGAAGAGTTCTACAGAGAAGGCCATACATTCTTTAAGGTATACAATGTAGAGTTTAAGCTGAGGTTGGACCCAGAAGAACGTTACATTGGGACCTGACCCACCGATTAGAATGCAGTAAGAAGGTTGAGCGGCTCTCTGATTTTATTATGACGACGAAGACCATTCATTTTAACCCGAGATTCCAGAAGTCCCACTTCCAACGCTTTGCCGTAGGAGTCTCCCAATGGGAGAACCATAAAGAGGTAGAGTATATCATGGTAAATCGAAGGTTTTGCCCTACCGATTTCGCTATTGTCCCGAAATTCTACATGGCATCAAACAACTGTCTCCTTCGTGTAAGGTTTCTTTTCTCTCGAAAAGGAGACAAAGTCGGTAAATTCAAAAAATTAGGAAGATGACGTTCTTGATAACAACGACGAGAAATACGATCGGCTCATTCGAATCGCTCACGTTAGGGCTGTGAAGGCTGAAAGTGCGATAGTCTCCAAGAGACGTCCGTCATCAGGAACATTTGAACTGAAACGAGAGCATGATATCGCCCGATGTACAGTTAACCGCCAGCTCAGTCCCGAACTTGCAAAACGATGCAGATTAACGTAACCACCATAAAGTTGAGATATTTGCAAAACTTGCAACCCAGGTAAGATTTGAACCCGCGATTGCGCCTTCCGGCTGAGAGAAAGTCAAATCAAGCGTTTCAGTGGCTCTGTAAGCCCCGGAAAGGGTAATCACGGGTTCGAATCCGGCCTAAGGCTTAATTTTGCAAAAATCTTAGCGTCATGGTGTTTCTATTTCACATAATATCCTGCCGTAAAAAATAATAGACAGCAGATGAAAAGTTGTACATTTAAAGTCAACATAAGTCCAAGATTCATCCAAATGCAGGTGGAAATGTGAATGAATGGCAGACCTTATTAACTTGAAGCAATCATATAATATATGTCTCTACAGCAAAACAGTAAATATTCTTCTACAATGCCGTGACGTTCTCCTAACTCATAAAGATTCCTGGTTACCAAAAAAAAAAACGATGTTCTTTTGTCAAGAAACCAAGAAGTCTGTAACAACTGACTATGCTGGGGTTGTATGTGCAGAGCAAAAGGCGGTCTATAGTGTGTCGTGGGTGTGCTCGTTTTATCCGTGTCCAATGAAGTCCTCTGCAACCCAGGGTTTCATGGCCTCCTAACGATTGTTTTACTGCCCAATGCCATAGGCATGAGCGTACAGTGTGGAGGTACAAAGACTGGAGATTTGCTGCCTTAACTAGTATGGTTCTTTGCAGTCCCGCGATCAGCCTATCCGTAGCCTTCCTCATGTCTTCATCACCTCAAAGAGTCGTCTCCCTTGTGGATAAGAGGGAGATTTGCCATCATGAAACCTATTCGATACCAAGGCGGTGGTGATTCTTGGTATTCGTTTAATCCTGGCTGTGCTTCCGGGTGGAAACGACGGTCTCCTTCTCAGCTTGAGAGCCCCTGCTAGTAGGATGAACTTCACGCTGTGCATTGCATTCCAAGACCCATGAACACCTCCCATTAACGAAAACGTGACAAAGTGGTGTGGCAAGTGTGGCAATCTCGGGTTGCCGCTTGGCGTTTCAGGGACGAGGGAGTGTGGCGGCTTGTTGTTTGGTGAGAGATCGTGGTATGAGCGCGCTTTATTGCGATTGGAACACATTACTTACTATGATTGGGTTAGAGTTGTACCACTAGGACAGATTTGCTTACTATAGCAAAAATCTCAGTCAGACATAAATCTCGTTTTCAGTTGTCTACGCCAATTAGGACGAGATTTTTCCCAAAAACCCATATATTTTAGTGTGTTCCCCTAGAACTGCGAATTTCGTCGCACGCAGCAAACTTTTGTTTTTCAGCCTAACCAGTGGGACGTGTGACACCTATAGATGTCATTTCCTTTCCAGTGGTTTGTTTTTGTGCCCAGAAGTTTTATCTACACTTCTTACAATCACTCGATAGCTTGTCCAGAGCAAATGCCATGACGGACATCGTTTGTGAGAGGGTGCTCTTTTGATAATTTCTCATTTGATTTCTCAACTTGCGGCGAGAGATGGTGTAGTAATGCACCTGCCTCAACAAACGGATATCGCATGCAGTGTGCAGCACCGTTCCCGACAAATAATTCGTTGTTTTCCAATTTTCAATCACTACGATGGCTTTTTGATATAGTTTGGAATGAAAGGATATCAAAACTAAAAGGTAAGCCTCGTAATATTCCTTGCAGAAATTGTACAACTTCATCAAATGCTGACAGAAGCATG